AACCCACGTCATTTACAACTGTGCAAGTAACACAAGTGATCATCTCTGCAATTCGTGCGACAGAAATTAATTAATTAACAGAAATTAATTAATTAATTAACAGAAACTCATTTGGAGCATCTGAAAATCCTGGCTATGCTCCCTATACTACATTAAAAAAACTGCCTTTTGAAATTAAGAATCGTCTAAATGAATCTGGGCGTCATGGAATTACAGCAACTAAATTATCCTCCAGCTGCTTTAAAAATATTTTCCGTGTGTAGAATACTGATGAATAAATAATGATCTAATATTAAATATAAAAAGTAATAAAAGGCATCGACAAACAAATGCCCATAAACAAATAATCAGTCAGAGATCGTCACTGTTTACCGTCTCTGCTGAATCTTCGACCGAATTCACATCTTCGTTTGCTGCCTCCTCGACCGGGGGTATGTTGAAAAGATTTACCAAAACGACCGCTGTCTCATCAAGCAGACACCTGTATTAGTTGAATAACGGGAAAAAAGGATGCAAATCAATTAAAGAAACCGGTTTTGAATGAAAAGCATGGTGACAAAGTTTTTTTCAATGGAAGGGAACATGCTGAAAAGACGCTTCAGCCTCAGCCTCGCAAGCAGCGAATTCGGATCGATACCAATGCACTGCTTCTGAAAAAAACAATAAACATCAATAATCAAACAAGAAATAGACTTGCGAAAAACTCAATTTAAAATCTGGTAGAAAAGAAGCAAATACGTCGTATGATTAAATGACTAACAGTATGAAAGCGGAAAACTTCTTAGACACCGATCCGATTTTTTGAGCGATTTGACATAGACCGTCATCGAGGAATTGTTCCCTGACGGTGACTGACGACAATTTCGTTGAAATGTTGGATCAGTGTTAATAACGAAGCTTTAATCTTTCGAACTGTTAACATTTCATCAGAAGACGCGTTGGGTTATATTCCTCACGGCATGGCACTGGCACATGTTTAATAAGTTTGTTCATTTAAACGGATATAAAGAAATAGACTTTAGCTTTAGTTGCATACTTGCAAGGACAAAGAATATTAAACAACAGATTGTAAATACACCGTATCATTTAAACAAAAACGTACAGTCAACATGACTGTAGAACGGAAGTGGTGTAAAGTTAGAATGTATCCTACTGCAAACTCAATAATCAATTTGCATAAATTTACATAATCTTTCACAAAAACCTTTTACATAAATCTTTTTGAAACGCTGTTCACATAAGTAACGTAAAAAAGGGGAACATGATGGCTACATTCTCGCGGTCGTCTCATTACATACAAAAAAAGATCGGGACAGAAACCGCATCGCCGTCACACTGCGCCTATTAGCAGAAACAAAAAAAGAACTAAGACGATGAAACTAGAAAATATTTTGCAGGAAGTGACAATTACTTTCTGATTTTCGAACTGCGACATTTCTTTTGCCAATTCTTCGTCAGCCAACAACATCCCACCAAAAGAGCCAGTGTTTGAGTCGGCATCTGAAGCGGTAATCTTAGTGCGACAGGATTTCGCCAGTAACGCACCTTGAAGTCGGCACTCGCCGCTGTTTTCCCTGAGCGCGTGCTGCGTGTTCAGCCATAACAAGAAGATCTGGCGAGCGCATTCTACGCTGACCTCAACCTTTAACTGGTCTGGTGATAACAGGTCTAAAACAAAATAAAGCACATGACAATGCACGAAGCAATAACATTCAGAAAAACGTTGCTGTTGTAAAAAGATTGCAAATTTGCGTGACATAAATGCACGACAATAATACTGTACAAGGACATAGTGAGGATCATACTGTGTGATCATCACCTGAATCCGTTCGCATAAGCAGAACGACCCTAGTTTGTAATTTCCATAGTGTTCGCAATTTTTAAACACTTTTGCTATAAGGCACGAGTTACTACATCGTAGACGGAAATATTCTTCTCCGAGATCAGGTTTGCTTTTAACTTCGTTCTCTAGAGCGCAGGCTGGTCACTCAGCTGATGTGTGTCGCGTTTCGGCTCCCATACGAGGAACTCGCGGGTTGTAGTAATTGTTTCTGTACAATCAGTTTCCTAACAGGGTTAACCTGCCTTTCATAATCCCCACGT